CTCACCACTGTGGCTAACTTCTCACCTGGGCCAGTGTGCGGCCAGCTGAAGCAAACTGCCACAGTCTTCTCCACAGAGCATAGGGAGGGAATCTCTGAACAAAACCCAGGAGACACCAAGTGGACTACAGAATTTGACACAAAGTTTTATTGATAAAATGTGTCGGTTTTTGTCAAACTCCTCATTATGTTTCCGAATCCCTACGCTGTAGCCTTCATCACGCAGAGATGAAATGTTTATTTTCCCAAACATGGCTAGTCAGAGTGCATTTTCCATGTGAATCCCAGATTGCTCATGCTTCTTTGCCTTTACTGAAAAGAGCTTTCAATCGGTCCTACTGTCTTTATCCATGTTGTGTCAGATCTTTTAGTTTGAAAAAGGATGCAGGGAAAGCCAAAAACAACGATAGCCTCGCTGCATGCAGTTAGCCAAGCGTTCTTGCTTTTTATGTCTTAATCAGGGCCATTGGGTCGGTGGGGCGGCGCCCTAGCGCCCTCTATTGGCCAGCGGCCACAGGTATCATATTTGATGAGCTATTGACACTTCTGCATGGTCAGTGTGATGTTTTTGTTCAGGAAGACCCTGTGTACCAAATGAAAGAAAAAAGTTGTGGTTAGGGGTTCTGAATATTTGAGAGAAAACTTTGGCTGTGCTCTAATTGAATTTTTCTGCAGTGTCTCGAGATTACGTTTGTTGTGAATTGGCAATATGTATAAAATTAAACTGAATTGAACACAGCTTTATATAAAGGAGGAATGTAATGATTGTCTATGATTTGTTACATATCTAACCATTTTTCTCCTTTTGACATAAGAAATGTTTTCTCCCATTTCCCTGCATAGGAGTGTGCCTGGTGCTGGGTTGCATGATCTTCCCCAACGGATGGGATGCAGAAGTGATCCGGGATATGTGTGGAGAGCATTCAGGGAAATACTCTCTGGGTGACTGCTCGGTACGCTGGGCCTACATGCTGGCCATCATGGGCATCCTCGATGCCCTCATTCTCTCCTTCCTGGCCTTTGTCCTGGGAAACCGGCAGACAGACTTCTATCTTGATGATCTGCAGACAGACAACAAAGGTAAATACATAATTCTCCCTTTAAGTAAGGAAGTAAGGAAGGAACGAAGGAACGAACAAATAGTTGTGAAAATGCAATGGCTCAGCATTTATCTTCACAATATTATAATCATAGAATGTCAATTCCTCCCTGCAGTTCAGTGGTTAACATGAACCCCGGTTACAGTGCCTCTGACAAAAGCGCTGTGAGCGAAAAGCATACACATTTCAAATACTTTAATTTCTTACATCATGAAAAATGAAAAAGAAATGTGTCTAATATCAGGAAAAATTGTCGACTTCATCATGTATGTATAATCAATGAGTAAATACCTGAATGTTCCACATTCAGCTGCTCAAATAACTAGATGCAAAAATAAGCAGAACAATAATGTCTGGTCGTCATATTCACCTATTTATTGGAAAGCAAAAGAGGTTCTGTCTACCCGTGATTGATATGTATTGGTGTGGAATCAGTATTTGAGTAAAACAACATTGAAGATGTTAGGTGAAACAAGTAAAAGAGAGTTGTCTTTTACAGGCATAAGGGGCAGAATATGGACTCAGAAGGAAGAAAAACATAACATTGCTCTGAAAGCAACAAAGGAATCAGTTTACAGTCTGAAGATATAATCACAAACAAATGAATCTTATGCTCAGTGCACCATAAAATCAAATAAAGTTATTGGCCATGATGACTATTGGTCAATTTTGAAGAGGAAGGGAGAAGCTTCGAAGCCTGAGAACAGAATCCCAACTATCAAAATAGGGAGACACATCGTTATCTTGTGTGGGGTTTTTGCTGCAGGAGGAACTGGTGAACATATAACATATATACGGCAGCGAAAGGAGATTTCATTAGGTGGACATATAAAAGCAACATCTCAAGTGCTGAGGCTGCAGCGAGTTAAAGCTAGGACACAGATGGGACTTCTAAATGGACAATGACCCCAAACAACCACCCGAGATTAGTTATGAAACGGGTTAAAGATAAAATCGATGTTGTGAAATGACCATCACAAATCTCTACTATCAATGATACACTGGGTATTATGAGCAAGGTGACCTACACACTATGGTGAGCAGCTTGTAAAAGTTTATCCAAAACAAGTCATACAGTTTAAAATGTTATTCTAACAAATAATCAAACATTGTCAGTTCTAAATTTAAAGTTAAAAGAAAAAATGTATCTCTGTCTCACTATTTTGGAATTTAGCAAACAAATATTATCTTGTTCATCTATTCCTAACAAGAAATCTTACTTCGTAATTGTACCTGTCCACAGAAAGAGAACATAGTACGTTTTTTTTAAGTGTATGTAAATATCTTAAAAGATATCTGAATATCTTTAAAGTGGAAGGAAACAGTTAACAAGACTAATTGATTTCCAAGATTGTGTTTTACTGTTATCAACAATTGATTGATTGACTAATTGATCTCACAGCAGAGAAATATACTTGTCACATTAGCATATATATATATACCTTTATATGTATATATGTACATATATACATATAACCATATATGTATATATATATATATATATATATATATATATATATATATATATATATATATATATATATATATATAATATATATATATAAAACAGTCACTGTATTGCTTTAAAAGATCAGTTTCTTCAATATTAATTTATTTCATACTAAACTGAAGCTAATACCAAAAATACACTTCAATCTGACCCCTGTATGTCCAGCCAAGTTGCTCTCAGAGCTGAATCTAAGAGTGGGTGAGAGTCCTCGGGGAGCTTTCTGACAGTTTGCATGATATTGCATCAGGGCAGTCCAATCACATTGTTCTATGCTCTAAGAAAGAAAGGGGAAGATGAGGAAAGGAAGAGCAGAGAGCAGTGGTAGAAGGGGAAAGGCAGGAGATATTATTCTGAAAAATAAAGTCTCCTTACATAACAATTTCCTGTTTGATCTGATTCCAAAAATTTAAAAGCACATCATCAAAAAACATCTATCAATGTTACAAAAGGCCGTGGAGAAAAAAAGAAAAAGACAAAAAAAAAAACTTAGACATCAGACATAGTAATGGATAAGCAAAAATAAAACAGTACAAAAAGGAGGGGGAGGAAAAAAGTCAGAGACTACAGTGACATAAGATGTCTTGGTTTTCCGACATTCTATCTCCATAATGGTTTCCATGGTAACTGGATATATTCCAGAGCATGGGCGTGTCGTTTGTTCTTAACCGATTAACCTCACCAACATACTCTGAGTATACACATAAAACACTCCCCTGACACTTAAATCAAGTGTTCTTTTATCCACTAGTTTGTTGAATATAACATGTTTCTCATTGTAGAACGAACAACAGCTGAAACATAGCCAACACAGCCTATCACATGTTGAGCAGGAGTAAAAGCTTATACTTTTGGAAAAAAATTATTCTAAACCAAATGCAAATTAGTTATCTTTTTTCATACATTTTTGGCATACAAAAATACATTGATCTAATTACTCTTTCAAGTGGTCCAAACTTTAAGATTGCTTAAATCGCTTTTATAGGTAATAGCTACAAGTTCAACACCTTCCAACCAAAAAGTGGCACACCCGTGTTTGTTTTCCTCTTCAGCTGTGCTGTTTGCCAACCATTTTCCAGTTCTGCTCACCAAACCAAACGTTTAACAGTTCAGAAGAAAAGCAGCAACCTCTGCATGGCCTCTGAGCCCCTTTGCTTCCTTAGCTGGCCATCAAGACTTCGAAAGGGGGGTGGGGGGGTCAATTTAAGAAATATTAAGCCAGGAAGAAGCATTTTCTCAGAGCCCTCACGGATTAATAACAAGGCTGGGTATATTTGGTGGGAATCTCACCTCTGAGAGATATGGAGATGAGCCCAAGGCAGAAAGTCTATTGTGTTGCTGAGCCTATAAATGTATTTCCTTTACAAATGAGCTGGCATCTTAAGTGAAATAAACATATTTCCAATGGTAAGATTGTTAGCAAGGTATAATTTTGATTTGAATTTAAACTGTTTGATATTTTTAGAAGAAAAACTGCTTCTCATATCACAGCGTATGCACTGTCACGACAATGATGGCTCTAAAAAATGGATTCAAAAAATACAACCAAGACAAGCTTAAGGAACTAGATTTGTGAAGTTAATATAATTTAATTTAACTGAATTTTAATGTGGAAACAATTGTAATATGAATAAAAAATTGAAGCCGTTTTGAACCCCAGTGAAAGGATGACCTAAATGCTTTATTTGTACTTATGTAATTGTATTTATGTTTTGCAAACATGTGCACATTTTCTTCATTGTGTGTAGCAATGTATAAACATTACTTTTTCCTTCTTTGTATTTGCAGATTTTGCTGTTTCAAGGGTAAGTCAATCTCCATTACACATTTTATGATTGGCATGTGCAGCCTGGTTTATAAACAGGCTTGTGTGTGTATTACATAGCGTTTACAATCAAGCTGAGTATAAGTAGTCTGCAAATTCATTATCTATAGTGAAGATTATCAAATTTTTTGCTCAACAGTTTGAGTTATATATGTGAAAAAAAAAATGTAAACTTAGTTTAACAGAGATTCATCCACAATTTGTTTCCCGCAACTTGGTCATTAAGGAAGAGAAAAGATAACAGAACAAATAAAAATTTTTCATGCAATTCATTGCCTTACCCCTCTAACAAAAATTTGGTCATTGGACATTGGACATCATTTGGACATAACTCCCAACAACACTTTGCAACTAATTATAGGTTTTTGCTAGTATAGCTTTTCTAGACCAGTCATTTTCAAACTCAAACCAGGGCACCCATGTCCTGCATGTTTTAGATACGTCTTTGCTCTAGTAAACCTCTGACTAGTGACTGCATTTCCTCCTTTCCACCTTAGCAGGTACCAAGGGTGAATCTGCATAATTGACGCCCATTTAATGCAATATAAGGCTACAATAGTGGGAAAAATGTGGGTTCCCACTCTAGTCAAATGGTTAATTTATAGAAATGGCATTGAAGACGAATAAGGAAAATTTAACAGGTTCAACGATCAAGGATCTGATGGGTAAGAACTGAGCAGCAGAATAAAAGGACCGTTTAAAGCAAAAGAAAGGGATTACATTTGAAGAGCTCTGAATAATGTGGTTGAGGCTTTACAGAATTTGAAATAAAATTAAGAAAACAAAAACAATTAAAAAAAAGTTATTTGTTCCAAAAACTTTTGATAGAGGCTAGAGCTGCATCTGATGATGTAAATACTTAACATTATTTCACCATCAACCAACAACACAAAACATTCTGCAAAATCTCTTTTTAATACAGAAACACATGTACTGTATACTGTATCTCCAGACCAAGTCTGTCATCCTTTCATCTCTCTCATTCAACACATAACAAAAAGGTTAACGGCAAAACTCTAATTTGATTAAGTAAAACAGACCAAATCCCAAACATTCCACATTATATGTAATAGCAAAGCCAAGAAGCTGTGTTAGAGGGAAATAAAATGTTACCCTGTTGATGAACTTTCTATCCATTTTCTTTTCCAGATGTTATCTTAATAGTAGATTTATCTCTTATCATTCTTCCTTTTGACAGAGTGATAAAAAGTAAAACCAGTGTCCCTGGATACCGACATGCCAACTACACGTGTAGTGAACGATAGTTCTGTCATCAGCAAATAGAAAAGTATTTCATAATTGCAGAGTTGCATAATCTATCATGTTTAGTTTGCAGTAAGAGAAATGTATTCATTTTTGGATAACAGCTAACTGATCGTGATTGACTCCTATGTCAGGTCTGGATCTCTTTAGGAGAAAAAAACATTTTCTTCTAAATCACGGGTACGAACAATTTAAGGAGGAATTTGTTCTAACGAAAGGTTCTAGCTTGAGGCCCGTTGTGTCATCAAGGACTTGTTACTGTGATTTGCAGCCCATATATTGAACACTTAGAAGTAGTTTTTAATCAACTTTATTTGCTCAGAGAACTTTCCAGTGTTTTTTTTTGGTAAACTTTTCTGTTCTATTTTCCACTGTAGCTGGCAATGCTTGCAATGTCATCAGTTTTATTGCTGCCACAGATCCAACCGCCCAATGAATTTTGTGGCAAAAACAAATGGTTTTAATCAGGCCTCTCTCTGCCAGCATTCCAACAGTTTGTTAGCTGCCTTTCTTTAGAAAAGAAAAATTTACATTTATTTTATGTAAAAGTAAAGAATTTATACAATACAGCAAAAAAGAAAAAAAAATCATATCAGAATGTTATTTCTTTTTCTCTGCTCAGACTATAGATATATTTCTAAGGGTCATCCTGTATAAAAAAAACTGTAAGAAGATGGTCACAGGAAGCTGAAGAAGCCCTGCAAGGTTTTTAGGTTTCTCACTGGGATGCACTTTGTCAGCATCATGGAGATCAATGCAGTTACTGCGTGTATGAATGAATACATAAAATTCTGTTTTGATAATGCCCACCCCACCAGAGCAGTCAAATTCCTTCACAATTATAAACCCTTGATCACCACAAATCTGAAGGAACTTCTTAACAAGATTAAAAGAACCACTGGGAAGAGAGAGAGGGTATTATTGAGGAGTATTAAGCTACTTAAGGCCAAGAAAAGAGAAAACAAGAAGACATACCTAGAGAGGTTGGAAACTAAGCCCCAGAAGAAGAGTACCAGAGATATGTGGTTAGGGATGAGGAAGATTATAGGTTACAGGCATAATAAGGATCAGAAAGGACAGCCAGAACAGGAACCATGAATTGAAAACATTCTTCAATATTCAGGAACAAGCTCAGCATACTTCTCTCCTGGCCATACTCAATCACAAACCCTACCCTCCTGTGATCCATATCTCCTCCTTCAAACCTTACATTTTTCATTTTCCCTCTCTGCGACAGTTCCTTCTGCTTCTTCATGTTTTTTCTCTGGCGCAACAGAAGATGGCGTTGCTCCCTCTACCTTTCACGCGTCTTTCTCCAAAAGTCATGTGTAGAGATAACTGAAGGGACTGAAAAATAATAGGTGACCAGGTCCAGATAGGGACATCCCCAGAACCCTGAGGGCCTGTGCAGAACAGCTCTGTAGGATTCTACAAATCCTAATCTTAAACCTTAGCTTGACATAGGAGAAGTTTCCAGTGATGTAGAAGACCTCCTGCCTTGTTTTGGTACCAAAGAATACTCAGCTACCAGTCCTCTATGAATGAGACCTGTTGTCCTGACATCATGAAGGTCCTAGAGAGACTTCTGTTGGTTCACCTTGCTAATCACTGTTGAATTGTTGTTGAACATGCAATCATACATCTATGCTTCATCATACCCACGGTCATTTCTAAAAGGCAGACAGCAGTTAGGATTGTGTTCATTGGTTTCTCTAGTGGTTAACACAATTTACCCTGACTCACTTTATCAGAAAATCTGGGATCAAAGACTATCTGAACAACATACCAAAGTTTGTAAGCCTTAAGGGTCAACTGTCTAATCAATTAGTCAGCAGTATGGGAGGAGAACAGGACATGGTACTCTCACCCTTCCTTTTTCATCTGTACACGTCTAACTTTCAGTAAAAGACAGACTGCAGGAATAGTGAGATTACTGTGCAGTCATTGGGTGCAACAGTGACAGATTAGAAGCTTAGTACAGGGAGCAGGTGCCCCACATTGTGGTACGGTGTGGAAACAATCCTCTGAGAATGTGAACAAAACAAGAGAGATGACTGTAGATTTCAGAAAAAACAGGAAGGTGTTGAATCCCATAAACATCATGGGAGCAGTGTAGGAGTATATATATCAAGGTGTTCACCTGAAGACCATTTCAAGAAGGAGGTTTATTGAAAATGTAAAGTTTATTAACTGAGAAATCAGATTAACTTTGTTTCTGTTACCATAGTAACATTCTCAATGGAGCTAACCTAGTCAGAAGCAGGTTTTCATCAGTAAACTCAGTGTCCTCTATATCCTCCTTCCTAAAAGCCAATTACGTTGTTTTATTTCCTTTTTATTTAGTCAGGACAGTTTTGTCATAGTTTTGTGCGAACAATAAAAATCTTTCTCTAGATCCATTAACCACATTAGGTGTTAAAAACACAAAAATAGCACGTCCTTTAGTAAAAGATCCAATTAAAGAATGATTGGCATTAATTCACAGAAAATGTCAGTGTTTATAGGGAGAGGGTCCTCAGTCTGCATATACAGTCGATGTTTTGATTTGTATAACTGTGTTATCTTTATTAGCTCTACCGTTTCACATCAAAATCCATCACATACAATCCAAAACCTTCTCCTTCCTGACATTTGCAGCATTATACAGACTTCTTTAACAGGTATTTAATAGAACTGGATATTGTTGATAACAACTGCACAGTCAGACACTACTTAGTATTTACTGTTTAATTTAAGACTGAATCAATATGAGGAGGAACCCCATGAGATAATGCACAGGTCCTACCTGCTGATAGGTGATTGCACCTAAATAGAACACACCAATACAATACCATTCATGCTACAGCTTATTTTTATTATTGTTATTGATTGAATACTACATTCTATGGCAGGCCGTTCTGATATTTGTTCATCTGAATATGGATTTCTGTTAACAAAAATTCCCTTTTCCTTGTCAATTTGAACATTTAAAACAGTCACATTCTTCATATCTGAAATAAATATTATAGATGTCTAAAAATGAATATCAACTATCCATTTTCCTCTTGTTACTGGTCAGAATTTGCATTATTTTGAGTAAAAGAAATGTCTTTCAGATATCAATAAATACATCTCCAATCAAGATGAAAAAGGTCAATCGTTCACTTAAAACGTGAAAATTTCATTCATACTATGACACTACTAGCATGAATCACTAGTACATACTACATACTATTACAAGAGATAATTTCCGGTATCAATTTATACAATAGCTCTTTGGGAAAAAAAGTGATAAGTTACAGATTTTAATTTTCCATTTGGATTAATTAATATTTTGAATTAAATTGTTAAACATTTATTAATTTAAGTTTGGTGTGTGAAGAGAGGTTATACTTAAAACATACAGAACAATCGGTCCTGAGGGCTGTGTAGGAAAACTACTGCTCAAAAACAATTTTAAACCATCATGTTTTGGTCTAGCATGGGGTGTTCACCTAGAGATACCTGCAAAAACCATTTCAGGATGGCACCTAGGGTTCCTACTTATTACATGCCAGAACCACCTCATCTGACTCATTGCAATATGGAGAAGCAACGTCTTTTTTCATAGATTTTAAATTATTTATTTATCTTCCCCTGGATGACAGAGTTCTTCAACTTTTTTATAAGGGAAAGCCCAGCCACCACATGGAACTACTATATTTAACATGATAAATGATTCCCTGCCTTCTATACTAAAAGATGCTCAAGTTTTACTATAGATAAAGGCAGAAGCTGTTGACATCTCCAATATGATCCTACCATAGTTTCTGAATAAAAAAAACCCCATAAACTTAAAGTTCTCCAACTGATTACTTAACACTTTTATTTTTAACAGCCCTTTATTTCGATCTCAACATTAGGGTGATGAGTAAAGCACTGACATTAAAAACCACTTGACACAGTCATTACCGCACAATGCATCTTTGCCTAAATGCTTACCATATGGAAAAGAATAAACAGATTATGAAATAGCTAATGACTGTAAAAAATAGTTTATAGGAGTTTAAGTTTGTACTTACTAGCTTCTTTTAGCAGCTAGTTATGCTGCATTGCTGATTGGTACGCATATGCCTTATCATGATTTTAAGAGAGAGACAATTAAAATTACCTTTTGTAAATGGTCAACTTTTATGTTTTGTTTTCATTAACAAGAATTTCCTCTCTTTGTTTTCCCATCAGATTGAGGTACGAGACAGAAGAGAGCCACGGTATGGAGTGCAACGTCTACACTGAGGCCAACAAAGGCCCTGAACAGCCTCTGTTTATGTCTTTCTCTTCTCTTTCTCTCCACTCTCTAATACTCTCCTTTCCTATCCAATGATCAGGATATCACCCAATCTCAATGCAGACACCAAGTGTACAGGATTGTGTAAGATAAAAAAACAAAAACAAAAAAAACAACTGCAACAAACACATGGGGATAAACTATATTTTGAAAAAAAAAAAATACAAGGTTGTACAGTGCATTTAACACTCAACTTTCTCAAACAAATACCTTTATGATAAAAAAAAAATATTTACTGTATTTAAAGTCTTGATTTTGTTTGAGAACTCCAGTCCTTAAGATGAAGAACCATATTGTCCGTTTTACAGTTCTTTCTTTAAAGTGTCGCTTTTTACTTTAGTTTGTGTGATGTGAAAATTCATAGCATCAAACTAGTTGTACTCCTTGCAGAGTTACAGATTGAAGACTCGCAATATAGCTGGACGTCCATTATTACACATTTAAAAGACACTACAGGGACTTGTATGGCTCTTCATCTAAGGACTTTTAAATGTGGTGAATTTAAAAGGAGTACCCATTGCAGCTTTACAGAATTTAACATCTCTGGGAGATTCTCTACTGTACATACTAAACAATGTAAATAACATAACTGCTGACGCGAACAGCCGACAACAAAACCTCATCTGACTCTGATGCATTCGAGTATAGTCTTTCTACCCTTGGTTTCAGTGTTTCTTGTGCTGGAAGAGCAGCTGAATACACACAGATTTGTTGTGCTCCTATGATTCCTGACTAATGATGTAGAGGGATCACACAGATAGGATTAACACAGAAATCGTAGCTGGAAGATCGTCAGAGAAGCAGAGCACCGTGACGTAGAATAATTGTGTTTGATCTTTTTTTTTTGTTATTTTGAAAAAGAAAAATAGAAACTTCTGCTTCAACAATACGGCCTCAAAAGAAGCTGCTTATTGTAGATTTTCACCCTACTTCATGTTGTAGTTTTTAAAATGGAAATTAGCCACAGCTCTGATGTTAATTTTTTTTTTTTTTTTTTTCTATTTCACTCATTTATGCCCTATCACTACCCCTCTCCTCAGTGTGCAGTTTACTCCAGTTTATGGTTCCAGCATTCAGTTACCAGTTTACGCTACAGATGTCTTAAGATTGTGTGAACATGACTGCTAGAGTTTGCCCCAAGTGCTGCATTGTCTTAAGGTGATGTCAGTTATATGCCTCTTCGAAAAACAGTTTTTAGTAGTCACAGAAATCACACGTCGGACAAGCAACTCTTAGAAATACAACAATGTTTGAGTTACTACAGTGCATAGACAAAAGTAATTTGGCAATAAATGAAAGGGGAGATATTTCATGAATTGTCTTAAATACAATAATTTTTATACTTTTGCAGTGTAGTTATTAACAAGGAATTGAAAATGTGAAAGAATAAATGTACTGAACTTGAAAATGAATCCTAAAAGCGGCTTGACGTTTCTAAAGTATGAAATACTTCATAATTAATTAATAAAGTAGGTAAGAACATTTGTTTTAGGTTGATTTTTTTTTTATTGTAACAATACTTTGAAGTAATAGATATTCCCTAAATTTCTCTTTTTTAATTGTGCCTCATTGGTAAACAGATGCTTTTTAGGGGTGAGCATTAGAGTTTAATGTTTGGGTATGAAAAGCCAGCCAAATCTTTAGCTCATATTGCCAGTGACTCCAGTTTTGTGGCTTTCTTGTATTTCAAACATTTAATTTTCAAGAAACAATACATGCTGGTAATTTACTAATTTATTAAATGATCAAACTGGGACCTCAGTGGACCCTACAGTAGCCCTAGAACTACAACCACATACAGCAATTACAGCCTGGTAAGTTATTGCTAATGTTGAGCTCCCGCTTGGTGAACCACTGCTGTAGAAAGGTATCCCATTCCTCAACTAGCAGCCAGTATGGTTGAAATGTTCTGGTCACTTTGGCGTTAGCGGCAAGCCCAGTCTGAATCCAAAAAGTCTTAAGTATAGTTGATGTAAGGATGTAAGCATTTACAAAGAGGATAAAACTAACTTCCTAAAATTGTTCATTAGTGGTAAATTAAACTTTGAGTTCTCTTTGCACTGAGATTGCCTTTAGTGATGACTAAAAACCTTGTTTAAGCAATGACAGACACGGTGTTCCACACCATAACACTGCCTCCAATAAACTTGTTTAATATTGGCTGAGGGAATAAAGAACTTTCTTTTCTCTACCTCATATTCAACTCTAATACTTAACCCCTGGTGACGATGTTTTGCGTGTATAGCACCATTAACGGGTGATACGCAGCCTTTAATTGATATAAGATCTGATACCAGAAAGCATTGCTGCACACAAAAATAAATGTAAACAGAGATTTAATTACTCTTTGTATCAAGTTTAGTTTCATCACGAGCCATTGACAGATGTTGTATCATAGTGTGCTAGCTAAAAAATAGAGAAATCATTTTGACTAATGGAGTTTTTGTAGCTAGCCACAGGGTAAGCTACTGCTAATTTTAGCAGTTTAAGGCAACTTAACCAAATATAGTTTTTTTAATGTGGGCAATGGAAGCTGTTAGTGTGGAAATCGGACACGCCTCTTTCAAAAGCCACCTGTTATTGTTGCAATTGTTGTGTGATTCTGCTTAAGTTTCATTGGAAGAAGCTGTCAGATGTGTAAATCTGGCCCATTAAGTCTTTCCAAAGGGGCACAAATCTTCTTTACTTTACAACATGTCATCTCTCAAAATCAAAAGGTATGGTTCTTCTGCAATGACAGCTCTCATAGGTTTCAGAAATGATTGGAAGAATTTTGATATCTCCATTAGTCGATTAAGTACCTTTAGCAGAGTAAGATGTTGCTTGGCTGAGCAGCCAAACAACAGCCATGTACACAACGCATTTAATTAATATCTACTGACAAAGCACTGTATCTAATGGATATAAGGATTTTTTGTAATATTCATTTATTTATAAATGAGGCCTAAGTGGGTACACCCATCTAAATACCTATAAGCCCTCCACTGCTTTTTGGATTCATTGACATCTTTATAACCACTCTGATATGACATCTGTCTACAAAAGGTACCAAAACTCATCGGTTATAATAAGTTTACAGATCATCACAAATCTAAAATAGTGATTAAACGTTTCTGCTTTTCATCAAGTTCCTTTACGTCATCTTCATTTAGGAACACCACTGAGATATAAATTGATGAATACAAAAAACTATTTTCAGTCGTCTATTTTTAAATATTTCGCCCCAGGCATAATCATTTTACATACCACTCTTTTTTTTCTTGAGGTCTAACAATATAAAGAAAGATAACCTATTATGAATCATGGTTAGTTTCATGGCAAGCATGGCAAGTGCTGATGAAAAAAACAGAACATTAAAAGCTAACTATGTTTTGTTAACAAGTTCAAACATGTTACTAAGTAAGATGGGATAGTTCAAACTGAAAGCTACCATAATACAGCAGAACTGTGCAGGAAGAGGCTAATCAGAATAAAAAGATTTTAACTTTGCAGAAAGTGTCAGTTACACCCGACTTTAGAAGTAAAGAAAAAATATTCAAGAATTCTGAATACTAATTAGCTTCTTCATATCTATGTATTGGATGGTTATTAAGAGCCCAGCTTAAAAGAAAATCCTTGATTTTTTTTGTCTTTGGTTATATATTTAGTTGTGAACTAGAGTTTGTAAAATAATTTATCTTTGTGAGAAAACATGATGTCAATCCCTTCAAAAAAAGGAAGGATGATTTGTAAAAGCGATTTGACTTATTTCAACTTTAAAAACGTCAGAAACATAGCAGAGAAACATCTGTTTACGTTTTGGTGTAAATTGAGTAAGAGATTCTCATGGTATATTAACCTTGAGGGGGAAAAAAAAAACAAGGAAAAAGAATTACACAAAAATGGAAAACCAAAACTGTTTTATTAAAAAACAGGAAAGCAACAGTTTTTCCTCTGGCTCTTTAAAAAAATAAAAACAATGATAATCAACAAGATAACTATACATTTTTTTTTAGGTTATTTTGACTGTGAAGCATACGTAGGATAATATTTCAAAAAGTGCATTTGTAATTTCTTTTTATTTCTGCTTTTTATAAAATAATAGAAACAACAAACTCAGTCATAGCTGGATAATCAGATGAAACTGATGCTAAACAGGTATTCTGCTGAAAGTCAGCTGACTAAAGTTGACTTAATAAGACTGATGTGTTGAATTCCTTTAGTTTCACCCTGTTTGTCTTTAAAAAGTTTTTTAAAAAGAGGTGTAGTCACCTTTTTACAACTTACCTGCAGTAAGAGGTGCTGCAGTATTCCATACTCCTTATAACCAGAGAAAAGTCTTTAGCTCTGACATTTTCTCAGCCTTAAAGTATAGGAGACGTATAATGACACCTTAAGTAGTTTGGTTCTTTAGACTGGCCCATATCTAGACACATACTAATTATCTAACTGTTTCTTATTTAGTGAAGTCTTTATAGCTTGTTGGCCTCAAATTCCCCAAAGACATGCAGACCAAACACTGTCCGCTGTGATAACTGCAAGAGATTTCCTGCATTATCCATGTAGCTGTGACATTAAACTCATTATGGCTTGCTGGTTAATTTTGATGCTTCTAAATCTATGTTTAAACATAAAAAGTTGAAAGACCTAGGCTGTTACTGGTTTATCAGTTTACAAAAGAACCAACAAATACTGTAGTTTATTATTTTTTGTTAAATGATTATTATTTGTCTCAATTTAAACCAAAAATTATCCTCAGATTTATTTTTACTAAAGAGCATTGTGTTGTTATGCCTTTTATACAGGTTGGCCCAATTTTGGCTTCCTTAGGCTTCAGCTGTATCACATTTCTCCACCAGCGTGTGATTGCTGTGGTTCCAGTGACAAGCGGGATTCTGCTATGACAAAGTGGTTGCACAATATGACAAAGCAGTCTGCTGTAATCCAAGGCACCGTAAAGGGTTTTTATTCCTCTCAGAGCAGCCCTTCAGGCTGACATAATGTAACTTAAACTCCCAAAGCTTGACTTAAGTCATGACAGGAATAAAATTAGCCGTGAGCATAGATAATTGTTTTACAGAACATGGAAAACTTGCTGTGTGCAAGCAAAGGAAAGGTACAGTCATACCATAAATCCACCTTGAGGAGATTAATTGATTTCACTATTTATTGTCAACATCATTGTTTGCACTTTTGGCCAAATCACAAAAAGAATTACATGAAGTACCCTTTTACTGTGTTATAACTCACTGTAACGCATGTCATAAGCTGTTAGGGCTGCACTCCGTATGGGATAGTATTCTTAAGAATGGTGTGCATGAGTAGTCAATGTCTTTCTGGCAGCAGAGTGTGGTTGGAACAATTCATGATTTGAGAATCATTCTAGGTTTCCCTAGAAGGCAACATCCTTGTCATCAGTATAATTTCTCTATATTTGCGGTATCAGCTCAAAAGTTTTGCTTCGTTACTTTCAATGTAGTATTTTAACTCTTTAAAGTAATAAGAAAGCATTTCTTTTGTAAAATCACTGTATAATTAAATGGTCATGGCCATGATGATGAAATTATTAAAAGGTAGCAAAGATGTTTATTATATGCGCTTAAGTGTGTTTATCAGTGTCTAACAAATCACTTAAAATTTTGGAGTTAAATAATGCGGCTCAACTAGCTAGCCGAGCATCGGATTAGCAGTGTACCTCGTTAGCCAAGTTAAATTCCTAGAAATTAAATAAAATGTGGGGGTTAATTACCTACTAAAACTCCCATTCTTGAATATTATCCTGATCTCAATTTATTTCTTTGATTCTGATTGATCTGGCCACTGCTTACTCCAGTTAAGACATCTGAAAACTGTAATGTTATTATTTGATACACTGTGGAAAGGTCAAAAACTCAATTTTAAATAAGCAGATAGCAGATTTTCTCTCTCATTTAGACTTTTAATCAGCCTTTAAATATGGCTAATTCAGAACGGAAACACAATATGCCTACCAACTGAACCATTGAGAACCTGTGCATTCCTTTACTATATACATAGATTGAGCAGATAGCTAGATGTACATTGTAATTTTAGAATGGTAGCTAGCTTATTCTCAGGAAGCTGTGTACTAAATACTGTATTAAAGGCTCATTACGGAAAATTACAAATACAAAATTCAAATAAATGAGTGGAACATCTTGTTGAAGTCTTTATTTCAACAATTTGTTGCTCTGCAGTGGCTCTTTTGATAAACTGTACAATAGAATTGCACTGATGTTATTTTCCCATTTGGGCCTTTAAGACAATATGACAACAGCCCTTATGCTGAATCTAATGATGCTGTCTATGGAGGCTCTGCACAGACCCCTGGCCTATGTCTCCCCACTGTCATAGTGTATGTGCTGGGTCTTCATTCAAGATATTTTTTTGTTTTTGATTCACCTGGAAGTATCTGCGCAAACTTAAACAATAAATCAATAAATGAAAAAAGATCTGCAGCAGAACTAAACTATTTGGTAGAGAAACATACACATATTTGCTTTAAATGTTTGTGTAATTATTTGAGTAGGATTAAAATACTGTTCCTTACCAAGGGCTGCATTAGGCAGTCTGTGATGTTTTTCACACACTGTAGCGTGCATCTGTTGTTTGTTTTTTCACAGGCCCAGGACGTATTTCCCAACATATGAATGCCTAGAATATAAAGAAAACATAGCCCTGAGGCCTAAACGGTCGTGTGAGGCTTCCAAGAATCAGTACCTGTACGATCATTGTTCTGGTCTACTTTCTGGGTACTTTTTTCCTGAGGACTTGACAATGAACTTATGGAGAAAAAAAAAAAAAAACCTTAAAAAGGAACTGACAATACCTTAACCCTGATGAGCACATATTTGTACCACTCCAGGTGCCTCTAAGAACTCTTGAATTAATTCTGATGTGGTGCAGAACCAGCAAAACAAGTAGTGAAACAGTAGTTTTTTTTCTACTAAAGACTACTCACTCAGACTGAGCTCTGAAGCTAGATGGATAAGTTGTAGGTTTGAGGTCAATTCAGTTTCAAACCATGAATTTAAGACAAAATACTATTAGTTACCTTACTTTGTGATGACATTTTGATAGATACAACCGAGTGTTATCTTTATTTGAACTTTATTTCTAATTTACAATTGGACTCCAAAACTGAATTCACCTCAGTCTAGCAGAAAAAAACTGAAACAGTGTGAAGAGTCAGTGAGAAGTAATTTCCAATTTCTAGCTGCAAACAAAATGTTTGTGGATTATGTAAATGTCATGGACATGTCAATGATTTGTCATCTTTTTATCATGCAATATCATATATAAAGAAGTATTGTGTTGGGCGGGACAGAAAGGAAACAAAAAGAAAAAAAAAGAATAATGTTCAGTGATTATGTTATTCTAGTTGACTTTCTGTTAACTCCTGAGATGCAGATGTTACCAAAATAACATAAACTTTCATGTGTTCCCATGAGAAAAAGAAAAAAAAAGAATCAGTTTTGCTTTTGTACAACAAAAGAATGATATACAGATATTTGTCATGTATTTCTGATGAGATCTTTGTTTTTATGTGTTTATTGCAGATTTTTCTGTTCTCTTATTGTTTTACTTTCAA